ACGCCGGTGGATGATGGCCGTGGGCAGGGGCTGGGGTGGCAACGGGGAGAAGGGCAGGAGGTGGCGAGGGCCCAGCTCCCTCCCGGGGGCGACGGCGGCGGCTCACCAAGCCATGCACCTCCTGCATCGCCCGGATGTCCTCTCCCACGTCGGACTGCGCCGCCTTCATGCCATCGATCTCCTCGAGGGCCTGGGAGAGGGGTGGTGGGGGTGAGCCCCAGGACGGTGTCCCTGGGGACCAGGACCTCACCCCCGCTGTGCTCTTTCCTCAAACCCCAGCTTATTTCTTCCCACTGGGGATGCTCGGGCAGCGCCATGCAGGATGAGGTCCCCACCAGGGATGGCTCTGGCCCTCGGGTGAGCCAAGGGGCTTTGCGGTGGGAGATGAGGCTCATGAGGTGCTGATGGAGCCTCTCAGCTGCTCCAGGAGCGCATGTGGTACCTGTCCATAGGTCAGGAGCAGAGAAGGGAGGAATGGAGATGGAGCTGGGGCTGGAGCTTCAGGGGCGCTGAGCCTGCAGCCAGCAGAGCCAAGGGCACCGGGGGCAGTATGGGACCAGGCACGACTCGCTGATGGCAGCCTGGGGAGGACCCAGCGCAAGCGGAGCAGCATTTCAGCCCCAGGTCTTCCTCCCCAAAACTCCATCCCTTCCCGCAGGGAAGCCCCATGTGCCGCCGTGAGCTCGCACCTAAACCAGACCTCGCTCTGAGGGCAGCACAAGGGCGGCGCGGACCCCAGAGGAGGGGGTGTCCGGTGGGGGAGCACCCAGGGGAGCAGCAAGAGGCTCTGCCTTGAAGATGCCACGCTCATTTGCTTTGACCTTCTTCTTCACCCGCCCCACGTGGGGGCTGCGGAGGTGAGCTGGGATGAAGTTATCCCCAGGGATGGGGGACGCCGAGGGGCCCGGCCGCCTTTGCCACCTCCACACCCACGGTGCAGCCCAGCGCAGCTTCTTGCCTCTCTTGTTCCCGTCTCTCCATCTCTCTGCTCCCTCTTTGAGTTCCATCCTCCCAGCTCAGGAAATAAAGATACACACGTAGAGCAGGGGAGGATGTGTCAGGGGCCTCTTGCGACACAGGTTGCAGAAATGAAGCACCGCAGCTGGGACAGCCCAGCTCCTGCCTCCTGGGGTGCTTTGCGTGGGGTGCAGGGACCGGCCACAGCCACGGCCACCTCACTGGGTCAGGAAGAGCAGATCCAGCATGGCTGGATGGGTCGGGGGTTTCCCACAGCAGTCGGAGGGGAGCTGGGAGGGAGAAACCCCAGCGGGGAGCAGCCCCTGGCCCCCATCCTGGTGGAGTAGGGTGAAGCACAGGGTGCCACGGTGCCGGGCTCCGAGCATCCCCCTGCACCATCCCACAGGGGACCACCGGCCAAGGACAGGTACTCCCCGGTGCCGCGGAGCTGTGGATGCCAACACACCATCGGAGACGCGTGGGGTGCGGCCGCCAGCACGGCTGGGTCCTTCCCGGGACAGGCGGATGGGGGTTTCCCACAGCAGTCGGAGGGGAGCTGGGGGGGAGAAACCCCAGCGGGGAGCAGCCCCTGGCCCCCATCCTGGTGGAGCAGGGTGAAGCACGGGGTGCCATGATACCAGTCACTGAGCAACCTGGTTTATGTTGCCTTTTTTCCCCTTTTTTTGTGGCCATGAATGGCGGTCACAGGGATGGGGAGAGGGCATCACCGTGAAACATCGCACCTCCCGTCCCGCCGCCCCCCGGCCCTGGGGAGGTGCAGCGGGAGGGAGGAGGAAGGTGAGGAGGATGCGGGGACTCCGTCAAGCAGCTGGGCGGAATGGTGGAGGGGAGAGGAGAGAGGCGCTTTGCTCTGGCGCCGCACCGAGCGCCCGGGACATCCCGACACTGCCGCCCGCCCCTCACCCGGCCTCCGCTCTGCACCTCCTCGCGCCGCGGGCTGTGCCCGGTTTCAGAGAAACGCCGCTCTGTGGTGCGTGGGGTCTGCTGGGAGCCCCTCCGCCGCCCCACCGACAGCGGGAGAGGTCCCCTACCCTCCCCCCACGGGGCTGACACATCCCCACCGCTCTTGGGGCAGCGCTGCTGTTCGCCCCGAGCGAGCGCTCGCCTCTGGGAGTTGCAGCAACTCTCGTTTCAGCCTTCCAGCACCCAAAGCGATGCTGGAGAGGCCGCGAATGAAAAGCCAGCGGAGGGATAAGCTATTTATCCGCTATCAGCCGGGGGAAGATGCTGTTCTCGGCGGTGCCCACGAGCACGTGCCTTTGCCCGAGGACGCTCCCGGGGCAGCGGGGCACAGGGCTGCAGCAGAGCCACAGCCCGGAGGAACCAATAGACCGAGAAACTGATGCTACTGAATCGTAATGCTGATAACGAAGAGGGACAGTGTGACTCTGGGGCCGGTGCCTCCACCTGTGGGGATTTTGCAGGGCTGACCGACCGGCCGGGCTTTGGCCGAGGAGTGCGTGCCAGGGACCAGCGGCGTGCTGGGCTCTCTAAAGCATCTCTGCTCTTGCCTTTCCCGCTGAGACAGCCGCTGATAAACAGATGGGAGGAAAAGGAAAAGAAGAAATCCCGCCTAAAAGAAGCAGGAAAGAACCAAACCACAAGGGAGATCCCGTGTGCTCTAAAAATCTGAAGTTTATTCATTAGAATGCAGTGAAAGGAACATTCATCGTAAAACACAGTCAATACATTCAAAAGTTTTAAGGACGAGTAGCAGTGAGAGCGGAAAGGAAAAGACAAAACCCCACAAAACTCAGACAAGGTGGTCACCTGGGACGGCAGAGGACAAGCACGGGGCAAACGGGGACCAGCGCTACTTATTTGTTTTCTTTAGAACTCAGAGGCTTTTCTGGATTGGGGTTTACCCCTTCAGCCACGCGCAGCTCCTCGGGCGACTCGGCCCCGGCGAGAAGAGCATCGCCCCCGCTGGAGAGGAGGGAGCCGCAAAATGAAGGGGCAGAGGGAATGTGAAACGCGGGGCGGGCGCGAGCGCCCCAGGAACATCGGCCGAGCGCTGTGCCCGTCCCGTCCCCAGGAGGGGGCAAACCCGCGGCAGAGACACGTTGAGAAAAGCAGCGTCGGGTGAAGACCTCGTCAATAAAAGACTCAAAAATCTGCGCCGAGCCCAATGTCTCAGCGGCAACCGCCGTCTCTGCTGCGTCGGCCGGGGGGAAAGAAGGGGACAATCTTTGCTTTTGGCTGCCGTCTTTGGGCCGGGGCTTCCCAGGAGCTCTCCTGCCCGTTCCGACCCCGGCGCTGAGGCAGCGGTGCTGCGGGGAGATGCTTCCCCGGTGCCGGCCAGGCAGGCGGCAGAGGGCCGGAGCTGCCCCGGCTCGGCACGGCGGGAGGGGAGGAGAAGGCGGAACGCCCCGCTAATCCCGTGCCCACCCCGGGATTATTGCAAGAGCGATCCTCCCACCCGCAGCGGGCGATGCCGCCGGCGCCAGGGCCGAGGGCGAGCTCCCAGCCCGGCCAGGGAGCACCCACGGCAGAGCAAAGCTGTCACCGGCTGCGAGAGCGCCGCCACCCACCGCCCAACGGCATCTCCCGCCCGCGGATGTAAGAAAAAAACACGTTTTGGATAAAATAATTTACGCACACAGAAGGGAAAAGGGGTTTCTGGATTCAAAGACGGTCAACAACACTTTCAGGGAGAAATCACCAAAGTCCACAAACTCAGATCAAAACCAAAGCTCCAAAAGAGAGAAGAGTGGAGGCGTGTGGCAAAGCGGTATTGGAACAAAGAGGTCTGAGCGCAAAGAGAGAGCGCGTGTCCCGGGGAGGTGTCAGAGCGGCCCCGGGGGTAACGGGGAACAGCACCTTCGAGGGGACGCGAGGAGCGCGGTGGTCCCCGTGCGCCGCACGGGCAGAGGCGGCAGCGCCACCAACGGCCTCTTCTCCCCCCCAACGGGAAACCGCACCGCTTCAAAAGACACTGTGCACGAGTAAAAGAACACTCCGGAAAATTTCCCCGTGAATACAAAATGTGAAACTATACAAAAATAGATAAAATCGACCATTTTCTTATGTGTATAAAAACAAACCAACAAAAAAAACCCCAAAGTAGCCCAAACGCAATACGGAATTACTTGGTAGACTGACCCGACCGTCGGTGGTTTCAGGGCGATAATTCATCGCTTTGAGGCACGACCTTCCCTGGAAGGGACGTAGGCGGGCGAGTTCCTCGAGGGGGGGTTCGCCCCGAGGTCTTGGCCAGACCACCTCCTGTTCCTGACTTCTCTGACTTCTCTCTGGCTCGGAAGCCCTTCTGCAGGATAAGCCACAGGTGCCGCTCTCCCATCCGAGTTCCTCGGGTAAGGCAGCAGTGGACTAAGGGCCTGATCCGGGTCAAGACCAGAAGACCTCTTCCCATCTACCCCGGGGCAGAGGGCAGCGGAGGAGGAGCAGGACACCGGGCAGCGACACCCAACTCTGGGCGGCAGTGGTGGTTTGCAGGCTGGGCTGGCGCACCGAAACGCACATTTCTTTGGGTTAATGGGGCAGAATGCGCCAATAAGCCAGCAAATTAGCTCCGAAAACGCATTTGGAAAACTCATTTTAAATCAAGAGATCCTTGCTTCATTTAGTTGGCATCGAATTAAGAGGAAAAAACCTTTGGCGTGGAGTCAGATCATCCAGTCTTTTTGGGGAAAACCCCCAAACCCAAAGCAGCTCCTTGTGCCTGTCAACAGAGCGACGCCGGGAGCTGCCGGCAGGAGGAGCGGGCAGGGTGGGCAGAGCCGCCCCTCGCCCCGCACGCTGCGCCGCAGACGGGAGACAGCTCCGGTGTTCCCAGTTCCTCGTTAGCTTTGCTTAAGGCTACAACCTGCGCTGCGAGGGAAAGCAGAAAAGGGGCAACTCGGGTCGGGGGGAGACAAAAGCATCGTCGGTCACTGAATTCAACTCAGAACACAGAGCCCGCACAGAGCGAGGAAGGAGCTTTGCCGTCACGGACAGGGAGGTTTGGTTTAGAGACAGCGTGGTTGAGACCACGGAGGACGTGGGAGACGCCTCGGGGACCACCGCCCTCAAACGGGTGTTTCAGGAGCTCCTACGACCTCCTCGCAGCAAGTCGGTCTCCTCAGCTCGCGTCCCTCCTCCACGCTCCTTCCAAGGGGAAAAAGAAACCCAAAACCTGCGGCAACCTCCAGCCTTGTTGTCCCCTCCAGTTCGGAGGAAGGAGCCGTGAAGCCTAATTTAGGCTGCGTTACATCCCGTACTCCGATTAACAGAATACTCTCCTCGTATGAATTTGTGCACAGAAAACAACCGTAAAATAATTTAAAAAAAGAAAACACCGACCAACCCACAAAACTCCCTTTTGAAGACAGTAACAGCATCGGCCACTTCGCAGCTACAGCCACGATGTGAATTTGGCTGCTTTCAACGACCGCGTCCGTCAGCGGCGAGGAGCG